TATACAGGTTCAAACATTTATACATAAAAAGAACACAAATTATAAGTTAAATAGGCAAATAGTGTATACTTGCAGAATATATAGATCAACTAGCAGAAAAACGAGAACATGAGAAGGCAAAATAGTGTATACGATTTTATGCTTTCATGTTAAGAACAATCTGACCCAATCTTTCAGGTTAGAGTGAACTAGCCTCATCAGTTCCTATTTGTACTGTAGATTTCAGGTTTGCATCAGTGTGACAAATAGACGATTTATGCATAACACTGCTTTACGTGTAGTGCTCTTTTCTCCTATTTTTTAATGGATAGATCACGATATATTTTTTCTCGACCACACAAAAGAGTTATGCATCTTTATATCAATAAGATGAAAAGGGGGTAAGAGAGCCCCAACAAAAGAAAACAAACCCACAGTCCCACGCATGATAAACCTCTTATCTGTTCCATATGAAATCAAACATAACTGGCAGGACTCAACAGAACCTTAGAGGTGTAGCATATATTCATCCATTGAGATACAAAAATCTAGGACTAGGAGACACCAGGAACAAACAGAGAAGACACATCAACTCTCCTCTTCAGAACCCATCTATAAGATAATATATTCATCCATTGAGATACAAAAATCTAGGACTAGGAGACACCAGGAACAAACAGAGAAGACACATCAACTCTCCTCTTCAGAACCCATCTGTAAGATAATCAATTTGTCTTTTGATATGCAGCTTGGTTCTTCAAGGGCTTTGAAAATTATAATTAAAAGTTGCTACAAATTTGCTTCAAACATTGTAAGTGCCAATTATACTCATGAGGTAATTAAATTTTCAAACATTGCATATGCTCAGAACTATAATTGCAGTGTTGAATACTTGCAATTTGTATTATTGCTAATTGCAATTAATTAACTTAATATTTTTTGTTTGGTTTTCATGAGCAGGGGAGATTAACATGAACAGAGCACTATAACTGTATATTGGCCAATGACTAACAATGATTTGTATTGGCCAATGACTTACAATGAACTAGAGTATTAGTTTGTAGAGGAGCTACAGTAGACTTGTTAATCTTATTTATCAGTGCTTGCATATCTTGTAAGATTCAAAAATCATCAATTAAGGTACAGGTTATGATAAAACTAGATTTCATCATGAGATGCACTCACAAATGCTTTGAATGCAAGCCTAAAAGCGGTCATCTCATAGATGCAAATTTGGAGAATGGACATTTGGGAGTTTAGCCAAGATGATGCAGACACCCAATGTTGAGAAGAATAGATGCAAGCTGAAAATTGATGTATACAATCTTACCAAGGAATCATATGGAATGTCATTAAAAGTTCAGGCACATGTAACTTGGAGTTCCCACAACCTTCCGTAAGTGGCACATAATGACAATCGAAGCAACATAGAGGCAGATATCACATTTCTAACTATTATCCCCATACATACATAAGTAAATGCTGAGCAATGACCTAAAAATTTATAGTTTCTCTATGAGCCTTTTAAGATGGAAAAATCATGAAGCAGACCATGTAATTGATTGGACTGTAGTTCAGAAACTTAGTACTACATTATCAAAATCCTAAGCCCGATCATGTAACATAAACAAAGCTAACTAATGCCAAGTTGTACTAAATTGCCTCTGAGATCAAAATAGGTATGATAAATGATGACTCAAAAATTGCGACAAAGATCTAACAATTTACACGATATCCATAGTAATGGAGTCATTGAAATATGGCATTGGAGTCACGGAACTAATAACTAAAAGTGAAAGCACAATTAGCTGCAGATAATAGTATAAAAGTAAAGCTATGATGAGGATGAAGCAAGTGACCACTGTGACACTGGCCCCATTTTTCCCTCCATCCATGTACTATCCAGAAACAACCCGAAAAGGCTCCGTCACAAGAAGAAATTAAAGAAATTTGCACCAAGTTAAAATTTGAAGTAAATGCTGATAAGAAAACTTTGCGTCCCAGGGAACTCACCCAAGAGCACAGGCATGCTACACAACACATGAACAGAGCACACACCAGAGCCCAACTCTAAGCACTACTACTACTACTACTACAACAACAACAACAACAACAACAACAACAACAACAACAACAACAACAACAACAACAACAACAACAACAACAACAACAACAACAACAACAACAACAACAACAACAACAACAACAACAACAACAACAACAACAACAACAACAACAACAACAACAGCAGCGCAAAAGGACGGGCGTAGGATTAGTGCATCTCAAAGTCCAACCTGGTTCCTTTGGATGTCCTAGCAAGCACAAGTTATTTTCAGGTTCTACTCAGTCAAAAACTTAAAATATTATATCAACTTCTTTTCTGAAACCACAAACTCACGACTAAAGTTTTTTCCTATGGTTTCTAATTAAGAGTATGATAGGATTGCAAACTCCAACTGCTGTAGCACACTTATTTATTTGAAAATTCGCCGACCATACTGGACTCAACTATGTTGAGACCCATACCCATATTTTGATTGGGGCAACTGCTGGCCAAGAACTATAATTAACGTCGGACTTATTACATCTCTCTTTTCCTTCTCCACAAAAGAGAAAGCATGCAAGCATTCTAAATTTTGGACAGATTTCTTCGATGTTGAAAATTACAATGCTGCAAAGAACATATACATTTTAGCACTCCTATAATTAACTTTATTTGCTCTCTTCTTAATTGAAAGGCAGAGCTCCAACCATTTCATTAAAAAAAATAACATGCAAATCAATTCTTTGCTCGATCAAGATCCCAATTTCAGTAATGCACATTAACATACCAGAATGAAAAAATAAGCACAAAAGTTCTAAACCGTACAATTTGGCTAAATTTCTTAATTCAGTTCAGTTCACCTTTTCACAGCAAGCACAACTATGAGTAGTAGCTGTTCCTCCCCCACATCTTTATTTGTATAGAGTGAGGGAGGTGCAACAAGCAGGCTCTCGGCTCTAGTTTGAAGCTGACTCGCTTCAGCTTTAGCTCCCACTTCCACTACCGGGGACAACATCTGTTGCGACTAGAACTAATAGACATGTCATGACACACCAGACTACAAAATTCAGCGCTAACCACAAACCTTCAGTTTTTGTACAATTTGGCGATGGATACAATCTACATATGCTTCTTTTGGCATTCGCAATACAAAACTAGAAAGTAAGAAGAACTTAGTAACATAAACTCAGTTAACAAGTTGCATTAAAATGACCACTACCAAACATAAAATCCAGCGACATCTCTGGCCTCAGACCACCACGAGTACAAAATTGTAGCAAATAAAACAGAAGAGACTACAAGGACACAGATAATTATGTGCCGATGTGGTGCTGCTGATTTACCTAGCTAGCTAGAGAATGACAACATTTATTCCTTTGGAACAATTCTCTGGAAATTCTGAAATCGCAACGGCCGATGCAGTCCCAATTTGCAGCACCAACTGAGTAACCGATTCTCAAATTCTCATGGAATAGACGACACAGTTGAAAAAGGCAGATTAGCATGAACCTTCACCAAGACATGGAGAGGGAGCAGATGAGAACGGCTATCCTGAACCAAGAACAGATCTTCAGACAACAAGTACTAAAAAATCGAGCATTTCATTTGCTTGCAGTCTGCACAATATGCTGAATTCTCTCTGCATCTCAACTCGACGAGGTCAGCACAATTTCTCACCACTCTATTAGTTCCTACTAAATCATTCAATCAGGTACAGGAGCTGCAGCGGCTGTACCATGTCCAGAAGCAGCTGATGCAGTAGGCACAGACGACTGCTCCGGCAAGCTGTGCTCCATTGGCGGTCGTCGACGTCAAGCCAAGACCACAACAACTGGACATCTGATGCGGCGAGAAGGCGGCAACAAATCCTTAGCAACAGATCATCAGCTTCACAGCTTCACCAGCTGCAAAAAGGCCGCAGCACCTGGACCAGCGTCTGCACTCGCTGATGAATGCAACCTTGAACTGACACTGGCAAACGGACCAAAGCGTCTTTGCAGCCGCGAAGAAGCGAAGGCACCCACGGCACGCGCAGGCGTCGTCGATGCGGACGAAGGTGCCGTGGCGTCTAATCGGCGCCTGTCCTCCCGTATCCCGCCACCACCTCTGTATAGGCAAGCGGCCGGGCAGTATGGGCCTCGGCATGGACCGGCACGAATGGGATCGTCGACTCCCCTCTGATGCCCCCGCTCGCACGCTCGCTCCCCACATCATCCCCGCAGGCCGCAGCAGCACGCGCTCCGCTCCCCACTTCGGCACAACCGAGCTCCGAGTAGAGTCCCCTACCCCATCGATCCCCGCCGCCTGGCTACATTCCAAAATCCCCCACCCAAATCTCCATCCCTTTGCCCTCGTCACAATACAGATCCACGAAATCTACTCCACATTACCAAAAGTGATCGAATACACACCTTCGGCAGCAGTCCGCGATGAGGAAGCGCGAGTTCGCCGGAGCAATCGCTGCAGCACCAATGAAATGGCCAGTCGCCGCCGTCGGGGAATGAGAGCACTCCAAGGTCGCCGCCGATGGGGAACAAGAGCACCGCGAGGTCGCCGTCGACGGGAAACAAGACACAAGGAAGACGAGACGGAATGAAATGAGGAAAAGGGGAAACGAACGCTACAACGCGACTCCCCCAAACTCAAACAGTAGTGCCGACGCGCGGACCCCTCAGGATAGAGACAGATAAACGAGAGCGCCAGAGACAGTTCGGGCTGCAGACCGAGCAAAATCGGACGGCAGACGCAGCAACACGTGTCAAATCCGATGGACAGAAAATTCATGTGCCAACAAACCACAAAACACACATGTGTCCTATAGCATTTCTGTTTGCATATCAACAGTTGCACCGTCTCATATGAAAACATGATACTTATATATACAGTACATGCTAACTCTACAGGTTCTGAACATAACCATCACATAATCTGATGCATTGCTTCTAAGGTCCCAAAAAAAACAGCAGCCTATTACTAACTAATCTTCTTCAAAATACTTTTCCTCTGCATCATAGTTGGCTTCTCTGGACCAATGGTCATCCAGCATCTCATCGTTATCGATCTGAGAATAGTCCATATGTTCAGTGTCTTCACCGGACAGGAACTTTTGTTGCATCACATATGTGAATTGCTCCAGCTGATCCTGCATTTCTTCAAAAGATAACGTCTGGTTGGAAGTGGTTGCAGCAGAGCCTCCCCCATTGTTGGACTCCATTGGTGCAGCCTCATTTGCAACGACCTGCCATTATGTAAAGCAAGAAACTCATCTCCTGCGAGGGCAGTGCATCAAAAGGAAGAATCACAATGTGATGAAGTTCAACCAAAAATTCTGATGCACTCCTGACTTCCATGTAGGTGAAATAATAAATGGTGCAAGCGAGACGTCGTAGAGGTCCCAACACTAAAATGGAGCAGACATCAAATATGTGGTTTTAATTGTGAACTACATCGACCAAGTCTCTACATCAACAGAACAGTTTCTTAACATGTACCATTTCATGTTACGTGAGCCTACATACTAGGCACTAAAACATGAAAGTGGATCTGAACCTGTGACCTCAGGAAATTGTTTTCCATGGACAAGAAAGATTAAACCATCTTATACATTTGCTTCAAGCCAGAGAGAACATCATGCACAAAATTATAGTTACCGCAGAGTTCAGGGAAAAAAGAATTGAGAGGTGGGCGTTTCGATCACAAAACAAGAGGCCAAAGAAAGAATGTGTGAATTATCTTCCCGTACAAAAACTGGATATGTTTCTTACAGAAACACTTTTTCCATGTAGAACAAGAGCAGAACAACTAGCAGTGTAGAAATTTCATATTTTCATACCCAGGTTCAAAAAAATACTGCCAGGTTATTCACTTCCTTCTCTACCGCATGGTAGACATCTAGTAGTATAACCAGCTCTCGGGTACATGCTGGCTTCTGTTTGAAAAAAAAAATCAGAGCAAACTGCCTCAAGAAACAATACATCACCATCATTCATTGGAACAATAGATCATTGTTACCACATACTCCCTTCATGCCAAATTGTAAGTTGTTCAAGCTTTTCTAGATACATAACTTCTACTACATACCCTGTTCGTTTCGCTGAAATTTAGCTTACGCTGATTTGTTGTAAGAGGAAAACACTGTTCGTTCGCTGAAAAGTAGTGCTGAAGTAGTGCTGAAGAACAGGACGGTGAAAAGTTAACGCCATTGATATAAACATAATACTGAAATATTAAAAAAAAATCATGCATAACTTGCACCTCGGTGTGGTGCATTGGAGCATCTCTAAATTAGCTATTTTTTCAAATCCGAGTACTCCACTGGTCCAAAATTGCAAACAAAAACTATTGTCTGAATCTACACATCAGTATTGCAGAGTTAGACTAGATGGTTGGTAGTTGGTTGATAGATTGTCTGTCTTCGAGATGAGTACTAGCTCCTAGATGAAAATTAGCAGTAAACAGTTGTGCATCCTTTAATATTATTCTACTTCAAATTAATGCAAACAAGGATGTTAGTCACTGAATCAATCAACTACAAACAATTTACAGTATGAATACCGAAAGAAAAATAAAGCCGTTAAATGTAGACAATAACAACGATAATAGGTGGAGACAAACCTCAGTCGCAATGGGCCTCTCGACCTCTGTCCCCTTTTCCTTCATCCCTTCTTCGTCGTCCTCTTCTTCTTCTTCCTCCTCCTCTTCTTCTTCTTCTTCCTGCTCCTCCATGGCTTCCTCAGTGCCAGCACCCACCCACTCGCTGGGATCGACCCCTCTCCTAATCTGCTCCCCGCGGATCTTCTCCACGATGACCGCCTCCTCCGCACGGCGCATGAGCGTCTCGGACCACCTCTCCCCGGGCCGTGCCATGGCCCTGCCGAGCGGGTCCTGGAACCTCCCGAGGTACTCGTGGTGCAGGTAGGGCTCCCGCTCCCGCATGGCGTCCTCGGAGAAGTACTCCCCCTCGCGGACGAGGCGGTCGAGGAACGCGCGGCGCCGGTTCCGCACCCGCGACGCGGGCGGCGGGGCCCCCGCGGCGGCGGCGCGCAGGCGGCGGAGGTGCCAGTCGATCTCGTAGTCCGGGCTGAGCGCGTCGAAGGCGGCGAGCTCGTCGGTGGACAGCGCCGCGCCGTACCGCTCCAGGAAGAGCGGCGCGTCGCGGGCGAGGAGGGAGCGGAGCTCCGCCCTGCGCCGCGGCGGGGAGGGAGGGGGAAGGGGAGAGGGTGCGGCCCCGGTGCCGGTGGGGGACGGGCCGAGGAAGGAGGACGGGAAGTAGAGGCCCTCGACGGCGGAGAGGCGGGTGGCGATACGGTCCATCGCCGCGGGCTCCATGGCTGCTACGGTACCGCGCTGCGTTCGGTACCGCGGGCTCCATGGAGGACGAGGTCGGTTCGGTTGCTCTGACGTGGGCCGATGGCCGAAATGAGATGGGCCGTTCGCCGCATGCCAGTCACGGTAGATCCAGAACGTGACAGCATGTTCGTGGAGACCGGAGAGTCTACACATATGAAGTACAGTACACGTGCTAAAAAAAAGTACAGTACACCTGTTTCTCAAAAAACTCAGAGAACGAGTTATCCGTAGCTCGTGTGCTGGTGGCACGGTGCACGGTACGTGCACATAGCGAACCTAAACATTGTTCAAGAAAAAATATATAAAGTACAGTACACCTTAACTTAGGCCTCCTTTGTTAAGCTTTCGAACTTGCTTTTGTTTTTATAAGAGCTAAAAGCTAACCAAAGGGTCAGAAGCTACCGTTGCTTTTGTCTAAAAACTATTTTTATCCTAGTACGAAATTGAAAGCACCTCACCCCTGCTTTCAGTTATTTTTGGCAAAAAATTATCCACCTGTCACTGATTACGAAGATAACGATTCATTTTTTTCTTCGCTCTTTCCTCGTACGCCCGACCTCGCGACATCACGGTCGAGCCCCGCCGTCCCAAGTGAGCTATGCCGCCGCCGTTCCCTCGTCCCTCTTCCCTCACTCCTGCAGCCTGGCCCCTCCCCCCATACTCCGGCAAGCGACCTTCCTCCCTCCGGCGGATGCGGCCTCGACGGCCTTGTCCATCCCTCCTCCATGGCCGTAGCCCAGAGCTTCCCTCCTCCATGGACAGCACGACCTTCCCTCCTCCATGGTCGCAGACCGGAGCTTCCCTCCTCCCGTCCGCTGCAGGTGCGTGCTCATGGCCATCGAATCTCCATGGCCCAATCGATCTCCCCTCCTCCTGTCCGCTGCAGGTGCATGCTTATGGCCGCCGAATCTCCATGGTTGAATCGATCTACCCTCCTCCCGTCCCCTGCAGGTGCGTGCTCATGGCCGCCTAATCTCCATGGACGAATCGATCTCCCCTCCTCCCCGTCCGTGTCGCGGCCAGCCCAAGCCGCCGGGCGCGGCCTGTCCCGTCCCTCGCAGCCAACCCTGCCCGCGCGGGCGTGGCCAGCCCCGGCATGGCCATCCCACTGGTGGCTAGACGAAGAAGACGCAGTTTGTTGTCCATGAGACTGTCTCCAACAATGAATCCATATGGACACCCAAACCCAAAATAGGTAGTAAGAGACTCAAAATCAGCCTCCAACAGAGTACCTATAAGGGAGACCTATTTTTGGTTGCCTGAGAGACACAACCTAAATATGGACATCCTCTCTCCTGGAAACCCATTTACCGAAAGAATTCTCTTTTGGGTCTTGTTGTTGGAGAAGATGCCGAATAGGTATTGAACCTTTTGCCTGTAGCGCTACCCAAAGGACGAATATGTCTTGTATTTTGGGTGTTGTTGTTGGAGATAGTCTGACGTGTGGGGGTCCGCTCGCAAGTGAGGCAAGCTTTTCCAAAAGCCACACCTATTGAACCAAACGAGGTTTTAACTATCGCACATCAACTTTTGCAAAAGCCACAGCTCAACCAAACAGGGCCATAGGCTGGCTTATTTAGCTATTAAAATCATACTCCCTTTGTTCCCGTTCAATTTTTTTTCAAAATAAGTGCACATCTACGTATAAGACAACATAACTCTATTTGTCTTTTTCTACTTTCTCTCTTCCCAAAGTGAAATGATTGCATCGTTCTAGGGGTATATTTGTAATTTCTCACTAGTATTGTTTATGTTTGTAGTGTTCATCTACCATTTGTCGGGGACTTTTTAGGCTGTCTTTGATATGGTTTTCATTAGGGCTTCTCTATTGGGTTAATACAGAGCCTTACTAAATGAACACACATGACAGCAGTTTCTAAAACTAAAACCAAGCAAAAAAACGGTGAAGCCAAAGCTATTTTAGGGTCACAAGCTGAAACCACCAGAATATGGTTTTTCTTGGCTTCTCTGTTTTTTAGAACCTCGAGCCCTACCAAAGATGTTTCACAAAAAAAAATGGATTTGATAATGCTCTCTTGTGTTTTCTTAGGAAATACACATGAAAACAAACCAAGTCCCTTATCGGGCTACCTATATCTACCCAAGTGGATTTCCCATTGAATCATAAAGTCAGAACAAATGATCAGATACACCTTGGGTACTTCCTTTGCAACTTCACCTTACCTTATTTTTAGCTAACGAAGGATGATCATCTTAATTTTGCCTTCTTGAAAGGCTATGATTCTAACCCTTCATTATATACCAGGATATCATCACATAATACGAGCGCAAATTTACCTCATAGTGGTTTGCTCTTTCTCAGTCTTGATAGGAGACTATCGTGTAGGCATGGATATAGCTGCCTTGATTAATGGCGGTTCTTATTGAGTTTCATTAAGCTTACCAAATTCGACTGTCAATGCCTTATGAAATTTAGATGTTATGGTTTTGTAGTGTCTAGACTTTGTGTTCCATATATGATCATAGATTCTATATATCAATATGTATTGGACACCAAAGTTATAATGATCTTCTTAAGCATAGAAACTAATAGAATCTAACAAAATATTTTTGTATAACAGCTTTGATCTTGTCGTTGTTGTTGTTGCTGCTACAGACATGTAGTCCTACTCTATTGGATCAATACTTTGTATTTTTTACGGCTGCAACAGCGGTAAAAGCATTGCATAAATTGACCGCGAAGAAAAAAAAATGAACAAGTCTTATGGGAATATAGAGCCTGCTTGGTTGGCTTTTAAAATTTGACAAGCCAGTGATTTAGCAACCAAAAGTTAATAAAAGTTGGACAAAAATATTTGTTGCAGATCTAGCAAACTAAATATAGGGTATTGATAAATTTTGATAATCAACCAAATAGAGACCACCCAAGTTTTTGACAACCAAAATTTGGCTATCAACCAATGAAGCCAATCTTTGTAGTGATCTGACCCAGGAATTCTACAGCCTGTTCGTTTGGCTGGACTGGTTCGTCGCTGGTTCATAAAGAAATACTGCTGGCTGATTTATGTGAGAGAAAAATACTGTTCCGACTGAAAATTTACGATCGTATAAGCCCAGCCGGACATGCTGCTAAGTTGAGTCTTTCACAGAACGTACGGCCGTACGAAACAGCTTATTAAAGTAAAACCGTTCTGCTAATCCGGATGTTTGGCACGGGGTTACTGGCAGCCGACAACTATTCACGCACCTCCTTCACTGTCGCTTTCCCCAGCTCGCACACTCCCCCAGCCTCCACTCCCTTTCCCCGTCCCGTCCCGAGCTGCCGAACTAGAACGAAGCAAGCCAACGCGGACGCACGCACAATCACACACTCTGACACGAACGCGGCGAACCCAAACCCCCTCGCCCCGAGGGCCGAGGCGAGATCCCACCCGCCAGCCGCGCCGGCGAAATCCTTCCCCGGCGCGCGCGGGCAGTGGCGCCGCCGCCGCGCGATGGGGTCGGTGTCCCTGAACGTGGCGTCCTCCCGGCGCGTCGGGCGGCGCCTGGCGTGCCTCTGCTCGCCCGCGCTGCTCAACCTCCTCGTGCTGCTCTCCCTCCTCTCCACCAACCTCCTCGCGCTCCTCGCCTTCCTCTCCCCCCGCGCGCACCCCGTCCCCGCCGCCACCGCCAACCTCTCCACCTCACCCTCCGCCATCTCCGCGCAGGTGGCCGCCATCGTGCGGGAGATCGACGCGACCCGCCTCGTCCCGCACCGCTTGGCGGCGGGCGACGGTGGCGGCACACACCCTGCCCCGGAGCTGCTCCTCTTCATGTCCCCGCACGCGCTCCCGCTGGGCCGCGACGCGCGCACGGGGCTCACCCACATGCCGGCCTCCGTCGCGCACGCCTGCTTCCGCTCCCCTCCACGCTCGCGCTCCTCGCCGCGTTCGCCTCCTACGCGCCCTACGCCGCCTGCCCGCGCAACGCCACGCTCCCGCACCGCCTCATCTCCAAGGCCTGCGAGCCGCTGCCCCGCCGCCGCTGCCTCTCCCGGGGCCCGCGCGCTGGGCTCCCGGCCTCCAACATGGGCGTCGACAGCCGCCGCTGGGTGAAGCCGCGCCACGACCACGAGTTCCTCATCGACGACGTCCTGCGCCTCGCCGCCGGCGCCGGCAAGATCCGGATCGGCTTCGACGTTGCCGGCGGCGCCGCCAACTTCGCCGCCCGGATGAGGGAGCGCGGGGTCACCGTCTTCACCACGGTGCTCGATAACGCCGGGAAGCCCATGAACGAGTTCGTGGCGGCCAGGGGACTGTTCCCGCTGCTGCTCTCGCCCGCGCACCGGTTCCCCTTCTACGACGGGGTGTTCGACCTCGTGCACGTCGGGACCACCGCATTGGCCGAAGGCGGGTCGCCGGCGTTGGGGCAGGCCGGGACGGAGGAGGCGCTGGAATTCTTCATGTTTGATGTCGACCGGGTGCTGCGCGCCAGTGGACTGCTCTGGATTGACAGCTACATGTGCCACAGCGATGAACGGAGGCAGGTGCTCGTCAGGCTCATTGGCAGGTTTGGTTACAAGAAGCTCAAATGGGTAATGGGAGAGAAGGCCGGCACAGGGAGTGCAAAGGCAGCAATGTACTTCTCTGCGGTGTTGCAGAAGCCGGCACGGGGTTGAAATTGGCTGGATGAAATGGATGGGTTGAAATCTGAGGTATGATGAATGTACCTTATCCTGATTGTTTGTAGTTCATCAGGGGATCTGACATGACACATGAGTGTGCCCAATAGATGCCACGGATTAGGTTGATTCTATTGTTTGTTCAGATAGTATAACTTAAATAAGTGAAAAGAGTACAATTGTTCCACTTTTGGTATCATGTAATAGGCTGCTGTTAGCCTGTTAGGTGGGAAACATATGAAGTAGTTGTTGCTCAACTGGGGGCTTGCAAAGTGGGTGTGCAGTGGTGTGCTATTTTCATTCAAGCAGAAAAGGAAAGTAAAGGACGCTCTTTGAGCTATTTATTCATGTTGTCTATCTAAAGCTAATATTTTTGCTGTCAGTTTAGTCTATAGTGTATGTGTGTGGCACAGCTTGTTCAAATTTCCTTGGACTTGTACCTTTCCACAATTGAGGGTCTATACTATGGGCCTGTTTGGATACAAGGGCTAATCACTGGCTATCTAAAAAGTAGCCCAAATTAGCTCTAGTGTATCCAAACAGGAGGGCTAATAGGTGGGCCAATTTTTTTAGACAAGTCTCCAAGTAGTTGTTAGCCAACTAGCTAACCAACCATAACTAGTTTGAGCTATTTTTTTGCCCCAACCAGTAATTAGCCATATGTATTAAACATGCCGTATATAGATTTCACTGCTTGTCTTCTAGTGCATAGTTTAAAAGGCGGTTAGGCGTCCAGGCGAGTGCTTGGTACGCCTGGACGCCTAGGCGACGCCTAGGCCACAAGGCGCCACTGTTTCCCAGGCGAGCTGGGTACGCCTGGACGTCTAGGCGTCGCCTAGGCGACGCCTTGAAAACTATGTTCTAGTGTTGAAAATTGGGTTTAGGAGTCACCATTGTGTAACTCATTCTTATCCAATTGTACTAATTGTATGCAGGGCCATATTAAAGCAGGGATCCACAGTGTTTTCTTGTAGATAACTAGATAAAATCTATTTTGCAGCCAACTGATAGAGATGTGAGATTGTTTGCCTGACTGATAAATTTATGAGCTTCCACAGACAGATCTTCTATTTGTTGCAGAAACATACATTGAATAGTCCAAGTTTGCTATGGGCAGACAATTTCTGCTTCTATTTTTACTCTCGTATTTGTAGAATTTTAACCAGTAGCATACATGTGGATAGTTCAAAGCATAATTGTGTGCAATCATGTGGTGTTATGAAATTACCTGCACACTGACTGCTAGTAATAGGCAGTCCCTGTAAGCATTTAAGCACTGTCTACTTCGGGAAGACATCTGGATCACGGCAAACAGTGTTATTGGAATCTTAACAAATAACACTGTCTCCTTCTGTAGACATGTGCCACAATCAGCATGTTATTTCTTCTTTCTGGCAAACACAGCTCTGTATATGCTTTGTCGACAGGCAAAGTTATCAGGTCCCGTTATGTTACATTGTTTCTCTGGTGTCATATGTACTCCAGGTAGCAAGCTGATCACTGAATCAAGGGAAATCAGTTCTTCAGATTGACTGATGTTTCTGCTATGATCAAACAACCAATACTGTCAGACTGTACTTGGTAGCAAAATTTGTTCAGGTCGTGCCTATACTGAATCAGTTACTCGAATGCTTGAGAGTTCAGATTGATAATCGATATAAAAACACATAATCAAATGCAGAGCATTGTCTTTCCTGAAGAAGAGATTCACCATTACCAGGAGCATGAAAACGTGATGTGCACTTGTGCAGTATGTGAAACAATTGAATTGCTTCGTGAAAAAGAATATAGTGGCATGAAGACAAGTAAGGGCTTTCACTTGCTTGAATTTCTGAAGTTCCTATTCTGCTTCTACACCTGATTATGTTGATAATGTACAAATGGTTTTCCATTTTTTTTTTCTGTGAGTATTTATATTTGTGGATCCCTTCCGTTGGTGCCTGAACCCATGAATCACATTGGTACAACCGACAACCTGTGATTCATTCTCTTCTCAGCTTGTTATAGCCTATTGTCTTGAGCTCCTGCTAGCTTGTTCTAGCCTATTGTCTTGAGCTCCTGAGAACTTTGAGAACGAAATACAAACATTTAGATTCTAAATAAGATTCTAGAATTCAATTATCCCACTAAATTCTGTTATTTAGAGATTCTCACTATTTATAGGCAATAACAATCACCCCTTAATATAGATTCTATGTCACTATTGATTGGTTGCAAGTATCAGGGTGTGTTTGGATCAGGGAGCTAATAATTAGCCCATGTTTTTTTTATACCAATTAGAAAGGCTAAATCTGAGCTAATTTTAGGCTAATAAGAGCTAATGAGGGCTAATTGGTGGTTAGAGTCCATTAGCCATTATTAACCCATAAATAGTTCATGTTTAATCTATTTTCACAAGGTGACCTAATTTTTAGCCGGTGCAGCGCATGTTGCTAGTGTTTGATTGCATGCATATGCTCTTATATCAGGTTTGCACATTGCTCAAAGTAGGCCTAATGCTACATTAGCTAGTGTGCCAGGTTTGGTCATATTAGACAATGCGGGCTTGCACAAAGCCTATGCGCACACACACAAAAAACATTCTCATCCCCGGTATCTCTACTAGAAATATCACACCTCAACTAGAACATAGAGGTGACTATATGCAACAAAATGTAAACAACCAAATATAATTTTATCAAATACGACTTATTCGTGCAAAAGAACCAAACATCAAGACACTGCATACGTTAACACTAGCTTACTGCATGAGGTCCAATGCAGACAAGATTAATACAAACAATCAATCAAACCCATATGACAAAATGTCAGTTGGTACTTCCTCTGTGCACAAAAACTTGAGACCGAGCTAGCTAGATGTTTCACTCTTGCTCCTTTCCTCCAAAATAAGTGTCGTTTTAGTCTTCTATTCTTGTTCCAAAATAAGTGTTATTCTCACCTCCTAACCCAACTCCGCCTATGGTGGGGCGCCTTTGGTGTCCCAGCATAGCAGGTCCCAAGCCCTGTTAAAGGAGGAGGTTTGTGTTAGGCGTGGCGAGCCAATGTAAAAACTTAGCCACTTAAATGGAGATGAAACCCGAAAGAAAATCGTTGGGGCGTAACCCTCTTAGCGACACGCCATATCGGAACCCGGGTATGGTGTTAAATGGGCAAGGGCCGGGTCGTCACCCCCGTGACGCGCCGTGTCGTGATCTGGGCATGGTGTCAAGTAACCAAGGATCGGGTCGTCGCTTCCTTAGTGGCGCGCTACATCGGCGTCCGGGTGTAGTGAAAAATGAGCAAGGGTCTTCGCATCGAGTCGGCCAGGTGCGAAGGGTAAGGAAGCTAGTCGAACCAACTAGGATCCGTTTAGGTAGTTGGAATGTAGGGTCACTTACGGTAAGTTAAGAGAATTAGTTGATATCGCGACTAGGAGGCGTGTAAATATATTATCGTTCAAGAGACTAAATGGAAGGGTCGAGGAAGGCGAAGGAGGTGGACAATCTGAGGTTTCAAGCTTTGGTACACATGGACGATCATGAATAGAAATGGAGTAGGAGTTTTGATTGATAAGAGCCTCAAGAATGGTGTGGTGGGAGTAAGAAGGCAAGGAGATAGGATTATCTTAGTCAAGCTTGTCGTTGGTGATATGGTCTTGAACGTAATTAGTGCGTATGCCCCCCAAGTAGGTCTCGACGAGAGTGCTAAGAGACAGTTCTGGGAAGACTTAGATGGCCTGGTTAGAGCTATACCTAGTAGTGAGAAGCTTTTTATAGGAGGAGATCTTAATGGGCATGTAGGTACTACAAGCTTGAGTTTGAGGCGAGTTCATGGAGGTTTTGGGTATGGTAGTAGGAATCGGGAGGGAGGAAGTTTTGGACTCAGCGGTAGCTTTTGACCTGATGATAGCCAACACTTTCTTTAGAAAGAGAATCTCATCTAGTGACCTTCAAGAGCGGACAACCTCAGAAGCAGCAGTTGACTTTGTCCTCGCAAGAAGAAAGGACAAATGAGCATGCTTGGATTGCAAGGTGATACCGGGGAGTGTGTTGTTTCTCAACATAAGCTTTTGGTGGTAGATTTTTCGTTTTGGTGCGTGCCTGTGAGGGATAAACAAGCTAAGATTGAAAGAACAAAGTGGTGGAAGCCCGAAAGGAGAGGCGTCGGAGGTATTTAGGGAAAGGGTTATCAAAGAGGGCTCTTGGAAGGAAGAAGGCGACATAAACAATATATGGGACAAGATGGCAACCAACATTAGGAAGGTAGCCTCGGATGTGTGGAGTAACCAAAGGAAGGGGACGCGAGGCTAAAGACACTTGGTGGTGGAGCGAGGAAGTCCAAAGGGCTATTAAGGAGAAGAAAGAATGCTATAGGCGCTTGTACCACGGCGGAGAGTGTGGACAACATAGAGAAGTACAAGGTGGCAAAGAAGACGCAAAGCGGTAGCCGTAAGTGTGGCAAAGGGTAGAGCGTCGAGGATCTTTATCAACATTTGAGTACTGAAGGAAGGAGAGAAGGACATTTATAGGATGGCTAGGGTTCGTGAGAGAAAGACACGGGACTTCAACCAAGTTAAGTGCATTAAGGATGAAAGGGAGCATCTCTTGGTAAAGGAGGATGAGATCCGACATCGATGGCAAGAGTATTTTGACAAATTGTTCAATGGTGAGAATATGGACACAACCTTTCAGTTGGATGACTCTTTTGATGACACCAATATGCGCTTTGTGCGGAGAATCCAAGAATCTGAGGTCAGAGAGGCGTTGAAAAGGATGAAAGGAGGTAAGGCGATGGGACCGGATGGTATCCCAATCGAGGTGTGGAGATGCCTCGGGGACATAGGCTGTAGTATGGTTGACCAAGTTGTTCAACCATATTTTTCGATCAAACAAGATGCCTGATGAGTGGAGGAGAAGTATATTAGTACCGATCTACAAGAATAAAGGGGATATTCAAAGTTGTACAAATTACCGGGGAATTAAGTTGATGAGCCATACTATGAAGCTATGGGAGAGAGT